AAACTGCCGCTAACCTGAAGTTCCACGACAATCTACAGTGCCGCATTTTGACGAAAATCCCACTTTTCATGCAGTGGACTTTTGGAGGTGTTGCCATGAAAACAAATACTGGACAGAAATATTACTATTACTGGCGTGGACACACTGACAAAAAGATCTTAGGATTCATCAAACTTAAAATAACAAAATAAGGATAATACATGGCCTCAGTGGTCCTTTAAACCAATGAAATGAAAACATTCAAATGTATATTTCCCCTTTTGCAAATTACGTGCATCATATCAATTTCGTTTTTACCTTCTTTGTTTTTAAAGTCAAAATGCATCCAAGCATCTGACTTGAAATGTGATGGAACCGCAGGGCGAATTTTTATAGTGTCCTCCATATTTTGTTTACGAATGAAATGCTTGTGACACAAAGCAGCGGGCGTCAACACATCCGCATCGACTCTGCTGGCTGGAAGTGTCATGATGCGATGGTTTTACTAGCCCAAATGCAGACTCACAGACACAGAGGGAGGATTAAAAGTCCAGTAATTTATTGGAACCGGTTGACAGATTCACAGGTTTGCAGAATCAGACAGGCATGGTGGCACAGGAAACACAACGATCCAGCTCAGAGAGGAGGTCACACTCAGCTTATATAGGAAAGGCTTCCTTAATCAGCAAATAGACAACAGCTGTCCATGCTGAGCCAAAGCTCCCCAGGCTGGATCCACGGCCCCCCCACTGGTGGGCAAAGCCCCGGATCCTGACAGGAAGTTGTATTCCACTTGATTTGGCTGATGTGCGCCAACCAATCATGTATTTTTTTTTTTTTTTTTTTTTTTTTTATCATGCAGTAGATCACAAAAATTAGAATCGCGATGCATCGTCATGACGATTATTTTGCACACCCTTACATTACATAGTGCATAATAGTGCATGTAATGCACTGCACGGCACATACAGGCGACGTAAAGTATGTGTGCTTTGTAAGTTCTGCCTCCCTGATCCATTTCCTGTTTGCTTCCTTGTAATTAGATTCTGACAGTGGAATAACGCACAGTCATATGGGCTTCCTAGTCTCAAAGACGTACACTGTGTCCGAAGATGGCTATGGCTGTTTGTCAGGCCTCATACCCGCTCTGGAGCTGATGGCGCTTTACGTGGCTGCTGCAATGCATGACTATGATCATCCTGGGAGAACAAATGCTTTCCTTGTGGCCACCAGCGCCCCTCAGGTACTGTGTTCATTTGGATCACTCATTACCGTCTCTGATGTGTATCAGAAAATGTAGAAATTTGTTTCTGTGAGGTATTTATTTCACACAATGTGTCTCATTTTAACTGCTAAACTGCATAAAGATCCTAATCCAAACAGCCGGCACTCATAGGAAGTATTACCAATACTTCCTATATGAGAGGCTATAAACATAAAAACATAAAATGCCAGAATGTGTTTACTTCTGTCTTTGCAATTGTCATTGCAAGTCTCATTAACAGTTACGGGAATCATTTCATTGCAGCGATTGCCTCAAAAGGTGGTGCTAAATTGAGGGTACTATCATTTTTTCAGTTTGTTTAATGAGTTTTTTTTATTTTTAAGTCATTCTTTTGAAGCAAGGTTGAAAAGCAAAGTTATATTTTCATTTGCTTAGAATCAAGTCATTTCTGTGACCTGGTGAGTTTTCATTAAATAAGGGATAACAATCCTTTTTCATAGATTAGGAAATGGATTTAGATCAATAAAGCATTATTATTTTTTTTTTTTATCAAGCATCGACTTAAATCACATAGAAAATCAATTTTGTTGCATGCAAAATTAGCAGGCAGTGTATGCAAACCTTTTTTGCAGGTCTTCTTTCATCAATGTGCAGATCATATTCGAATAAGCAACCTGCACAAATATGTGGAGGGAGGAATACATTTTTAAATCTGAACATCAACTGCGACCATACTTTTAGCATCTTTTTAGAATTTTGAAAATCAGCTGCAAACTTTCACACAAATACGTACAAATTCAGACGATGGGGAAAAAAAATTCTGCAAATGTAAATATACAGTATTTGGAGATAAATCAAAAGTGGAATAATATCGTCAGAGGTAGAAGAAATAATGAATGTTGGCAGACATTCTCTGTACAAATAAACCAAAAGAAAGTGGTTCAACATGCTTAAAAACAAAATATAAAATGAACAGCTGGAATGTCCATGGTAGAGGTATACCTAGATGTGGGGAATAGCACTCTGTTCTAAACCTGACTCTTGCTCCTGTTGTGTTGGGGAGGATGGAGAGGGGGAAGACAACTTTCCCATATTTAATGTTATTCTATGTTGTTTAACTTAAACCTTAGATATTTTAATTTTACATATATA